TCGTGTCACATGAACTAACATGAGCGCGAGCAATTATCGGCAAACACTCACAATAGAATGTTACGCGCTATTTCTAAAGTAATTCGCGAAATAATATATTGGCCACTTTCTTCTAATATTTTGCTGTTTTATTTTCTATGTTTTTCTTTAAATGATATTATTATTTACTTTTGTCTTGAGAAGTTATTATCTATTTAAGATTAATACTGTATGTATAAATTCTAATTACTTTAAGATTACTTCAGCCATTTTGCTTAGGTTATGTAAGGGTAATTCCAAATTATTGGGGATATTAATAGACGTCCGGTTTTAATCCTGTTTTATTTATAATGAAAAGTCTACATATTAAAATATTTAATTTCAGATGCCTCGAAATCATATCAAGAAAAAAAACAAATACACTGTATGACAGCTCATTAAAGCCATCAAGCTCATAAAAGAAACTGTCATTCCGACAGGCAGAAGCAAACTTTTCAATATCACGAGCCACTTTATTCGACAATTAAAAAAAAAGACAATATTGGTAGCAATAAGTAAATATGTTTTGTAATTACCTTGACCTGTTCATATTTACTTGAGCACTTGTCCGTTAATACTCCATAAATTTTGGGTAAATACAGACAGCAAAAATTTATTTTCTGTTAAAAAATTCAGATTGTTTATGATAATTTTTGTAATATATTAAATACTTTAAGCCTAAAAACTAATAAGTAAAGGTTGACTTCTAATGAATAAAGACTGATTATATTCTTAACTCTTGCATCTATTTCAATTTAATTTTGTATATCCCCCACTCTCTCCGACATTTCGTTGTAAAATCGCTGCATAATCCGTGAAATCCGATAAAAAATAATCAGAAAAATCCGACTCTTCGGATAATTTGATCGATTGATGTTATCCAATCAAAAATATATGCGTGCAGGTACTTGATCAGACATAATATGATCGAATAGTCTATTCGAATAGAAGATTCGAACGAACGGATATTTCTCATCAGACATTCCGATGAATTTATTTCTGATCAAATGTGATTGGACTTTTTGTCCGATCAAAATAATCGAAAATAGCATTTGTTATTTTTTGAAAGGATAACTCGATATTGGAAAAAGCTTGGATATTTTTCTCAATGTACAAATAGCAAGATGTCTTTTCACATGTCTTATAACAAATCGTCTCTCGAACTTTTTATAAAGGTATTATATTTTCTTAAAAGATTATTTTAGTTTGTTAACGTTTTCATATAATTTAAAACTTGCGACTTACATTGATAATAACTCGATCAGTATCGAAACGTTTGTAAATTGTATTGTTAATTTGAACATTAAAAAATCCTATTTGTGCATATAGTCCTTCTATTATATCATTTAATTTTATTTCAACTGAACCATATTATTCTTTTATAATTATAGAAGTCGTGTGTCCCTTGGCAGGGCGAGGAAAGTGGGATGGCTCTCCCTTAGCATGGAAAATCGTTCGCTACTTGGCAGATGGGAAAGTTGAGTGTTTACTTGCTTCATTGTTGAGTTCAAATTTTTATTTATTTAGAAAGGTGCGTCATTTAAACTTTGGGTGATCTGTTTATCAGTTTTAAGTATTCTGAAATATTGTAAGTATATGTTCATTACGTAAGAACATTTTTTGGAGAAAACGTTTTTTTTTGATTAATATCAAATACGAAGATCAATCATGGTCAAAATTAGATATTTCGAATAATACAATATACATACATTATAAATGAATTTTATTTCAGAAAAGGTAAATGTTTACCTTTATTAGTCTCAAATGACTTCCAACTGATCTAGATAGACCTCAATCTTGACTCTCAAAGTCACTGACCTTTTTACACGTGGAGTGAAGTCTATCCCCATCTCCTCCTATTAAGGGAAAATACTGCTGAAATATGTATCTTATGTTTAAAAATTGTGTGCTATTCATAAAAATTGTTTTGTTCATATCTTTTTAATGAATAACGAGCGACGGAAAAGATCAATGACCTTGACTTACTTGAGAGTTAAAGTCAGTCGGAGATCATTTAGGATTGACTAAGAATGAACATTTACCCAGATAAGATTGAACGTCGAATTTTCGGACTTTCAACACAATCAATCTAAAACGCGGAATATTAAACAAATTCTATAATTAATATTTAATTTGATAATCATAATTCAATTTTATGATCATTTGATAATAATCTTTTTAATAAACAATGATTATCGACTAAAACTGGAGGTTCAGGACAGTGACTTTGGCAAGACTTCTTATCTCACTTCCCTCCCTGCTACGAGATGCACAGCTTTTCACCTGAAGCGACTTCCACCCAGAATGCAAAACTAATTATAGTAATTCAATTAACAATTACAAATTACAATGTAATTCTTAATTGAATTAGTAATTATATTTTGTAATTATTAATTGATGAAAAAAATTAAATGAAATAATTGCGAAAAGTATTGTGAATAGATTACAACTATTTAATTGTTAATTAATTGTAATATAATTGTAATTGTAATTAAAATAAGAGCAATTAATATTTTATAGAATATTGTATCCTTTCTAAAAAATGTATCCTTTCTAAAAAAAGGCACCTCATCAATATTATTATATTATGTTCTTATGCATATGAAAGATAATAAAATTTACCTAATAATACATATGAAAAATAAGAAAATTTTGCCTAATATAATTATGAAAGTAATCGTATGCAATTACGAACGAAAGCGACTCCCACTCCACCTTTCTTCTGCTACGGAGCGCACGACTTTCTGCGCAAAGCGACGATTTTTTGATTTATAATTGTTAGTTATTTTGTCTATTGGTTAGAGAATTTTTTTACTATTTTTCTCGTTTTCTTCGCTAAAATTCTTTCGAAAATTACTTTTATTTTGAGGGGCCACAGTTATCATAATAATCGTGCCGCTACTAATCTTTCCCCCTAAGTTAAATTAGAAAAACTATAAAAAACTTATTGCGAAAAATTACCTCAGCCAAGGTGAATTCCTTTTCGACTTTCCGGAACAAATGTCTTAACCAACTCGATCACTGAGGCTTCATTTATTGTTTAAAAATTTTTTTTGTAACACATAATTTCAAAGGTCGCTAAAAACTTCTTTTAGCATGTTTTAGCATGTTTTATATAACAACCAAAATATGAATGAGCACCATTTTGTATTGTCACATCGGGAGACAAAAATGTATAAGAAATAAACAATTATGTTTTTTTTTTACGAGAACATAGCCCATTTGAAGTTTAACCCAATTTTTAATTGACCAAATAATTTCTTATTATAAGCACAGATAAATTTGGGACATCCTGTCCTAAGTAACATATGATTATTACAATAAGGGCGAGGTGACACTATTGTCACTGACACTTAAAAATTTTCGTTGAATTTCAGTCAAGATGATGGTATCTTGATTTGATCTTATCGTGATAATCGTGTGTTACTTAGAATCATAAATTATTTCTAAGTTTTCATACCATGACTTACAAAAAAGAACTTTTTTTTCTTGTTTCTTGATTATTCACTCTTAAAAAAAGAAAATCATCATGCGTAATCATATCACAGATTCAAGTGAATTGTGATATGATTACATATGATGATATATATATGTATATATAAAAATGTCCAATTTTTTAAATGACATATTCAACTAATAATTTAAAAAAGTAATTAACAATATTAAAGTACAATTTACAAGATTAACATAAATAAATCTAAATAAATGGAAAATAACATTAACAAATAAACTTATGTGAAAGGATTTCTATGATGTGCCGTGGGGTATTTGCGCATGAACACTAGTGACTGATTTTTCTATATAAAATAAAATTTCATCGTATAAAAATAAGATTACAAAGATTGAGACAAAAATTACTGAAAGTACAATAAAATCACATTCTGCAGTACACAAACCGCAGCTGCAATATAAATCAAAATATTTCATAAATAAGCTCGAAATTTTAAAATGTCCTTATTTTAAAGTGCGGTAAATTTTGCGCCATAATAATTATTATTCAGTATTATTTACGATGTAAAAAAATTTTCATCTTTTTCATCATTATCTTTATAATCTGTTCATGCAAGACAACCTTACACGTGAAATGGATCAGTGCGTTTTATGTATTGAATCCAATTTTCTCGGTTTTCCGTAAGTTTTTTAATCTGCTTATATAAGATCAAATGTCTATCATGAATTTGGCTCAAAAATTTGATAGATGTGATAACAAAATCAATTGCTTTTGAGATTTATAGGTATCTATTGAAACTTTTGAGATTTAGGGGTATCTATTGAGCGTTTCCATACCACTGTGCTCGAGAATCGATACTGTGGGCATATAAGTGATACTTTGCATACTACATTTTGACATCTTTAAAAATGATGCAATTGTTTGAATGATGAATGAATTAGCAACCTATTCTGAGCTGACTTGAAAATTATTCATCTCATGCCCACAAGAGCCATTCAAATGTGACGTGCACAGCGGCATATAATACGATTTACATGCAGTACTAATATCATTAATTAACCTGTGCGTGGGGAAACCACCACTCGGAAATCCACTCTGTCCAGTACGTCTGATAGCATAAACAATGAAAAGTACTGACTTAAGAGATGATAATTAATATTATTTTGGTTGCTAGTCTCATCTCTATATATACAATATAATTACGATGAAAGGATTAAGGTTTCCCCACATTAAATCATATATTTTTTGTACAATAATTTTTGTTTCTACAGTTATAAAATGGTTGTAAATTTGATACTTCATTTCTTTCTTTGATTACGGACAATAAAGCCTTTTCCAAATTAAACATTTTTTGGCTGCAATGTTGATAACAATCTTTGTTGTGACTCAAATAGCAATAATTAATTAAGGGAAGTCGAAAAATATATAATCTATCTATTTTTTAAATCATTTATTTCTAATATAGTTTCTATAGTGATATATTACGTGCGTTTGATTTTCTATGCAAAGCGAGATTTATTTCATCTCCCTCTTGGCGCATGAATTTCTGCACGAAGCGATTCTATCTCACCTTTCTCTTTGCCTAGGAGCTTTCGACTTTCCATACGAAACGCGCGAAATCCACCCCATCTTCTCTCCTAGAACGTATTCAGAGCTGCGTTCCGTTTCATGCATGATGCGCATGCTGCATTATTTATCCTTGTTATTAATTGAATATTAAACAAGGATAAATGATACATGAAATGGAACGCAGCCCAGATGCCCACTCGGATGCTCTGCGGGTGTTATCTTTGTTTAGCATTCGATAAACAATAAGAATAAAATGATACTTCAGTGGCACTCGAATGGGAATCAGAACATCTAGAAGCATCCGACTTTTTACGCGAAACAAAGTCCAACTTCCCCTCCTGCTTATAAGCATCCAACTTTGTAAGTAAGGGGATGTAATATAGAATTCGCGAATAAAGTCGTAAATATCTGTAGACTAAAGGAGAGATGGGGAGTTCGCTTCGCGTGGAATCGCGCGCCTCTTGAGAGGGGGGGGGGGATAGATCTTATTATATTGATATTTTATTGATTGGAAATAAATAATAAAAATAATAGGTAAGTTATATACTTTTTAACGTCACTCGATTATTTATTACTATCAGAGTCATAATAAAAACTGTTATCAACATTGCAGCTCAATTATGTTGAAATTCGAAAAAGGCCTTATTGTGTACAATTACGCTTTCTTTTACGTGATGTACGAATACCGAAGTATCGATAATAATAATTTACGTTATAAAAAGATATAATAATTTACTCATCCTAAAGGATATAAGACAAATTGAATTTTGAAATCAAAATTTTCTTCTTAACAAAATGAAAAACATACCTTCTAAGTTCTTCCTGACTATGGGCCAATGCTTGAACGACTCGTTCCAATCTCAGGGACCTGGCTGTTAAAGGAGATGCCGCATCGCTTCCACCGCTTCCTGCACCACCATTATCTCTTTCACTAACCGAATGCAGTTCCTCTCCCGACAACTGCAACTGTTACAGATGGGAACTATTCTTTTTGTATGTAATTCGTACATACTTTCTAAATTTCTTAGAATGAAAATTGAGCTAGTTTTTGAATAAAAGTGAAAATATTTTTCACCTTGTAAAAAGAGTGAAAATTTTTATTCTTTTGGAATAAAATTTTACTCGGGGTGAGATTTCATTCCTTCCAAAGTGAATCTTATTCTAAACGAGTAAAATCTCATTCCAAAGGAGTAAAAATTTTCAACTCTTTTTTCCAGGATAAAACTATTTTCACTTTTATTCAAAGGTTCATTTTTCAGTCTTTTAAAATAAGATTTCATTCTAAGGGATTTAGAAAATAGTATTTCGAAATGTTTTAATAATAGATTTTTGATCAATTTGGGAAAGGACATTATTTATTGCAATTTTTCAATTTTATGCGCTTAAACATATTTTTGCAAGTAAGTTTCAAGTTGAAATTCCATGAAATTAAGTACTAACTAAAATTAAGAATAGTGTTTCATTACTTATTCAATTTCTAAAGATTATTTTACAAAATTTTTCTTTCCAGTTGTTTATAAATCAGATGTGAATAAATGATAGATACATTTTCATTAAGAAAAACATAGATTTTTAATATTGACCGAGTAGTATACTAAGAAGATATTCTTTTATATGTCATACGTCATATAAAATAAAATAATGAATATTTTATAATATCATTATAACGTTGTACAATGCGATCTACTATCTATCAAGTTATTATCTATGTGCTAAAAGAATGAAAGTTTTTCATTTTTTTCTAACATTTGTATTTTTTTATGCAACATTGAATTTTTAAGAACAAGTTTGAAAATTTTTTCTATATAAAGAAAAATTCTTTTATAAAAAAAAAAATTAAAAATTAAAAGTGATATTTCTGTTAATACAAATTATTTCAAAATGTAACTTTATTATATGTAAAGCATATTAAAAAGCATATTAAAAAGATTGTTTGCAGTAAAAGAAAACAATAGTTTTGTATGGTTAAATTATATAGAAGCAAAATTTGCAAATTCATTTTAAAGAAAAAATAAATGAACACAATTTTCCTTTTAAATGTAACGTTAAATTTCATAAAAAATAAGATCTTTATATATTAATTTTGTTTTGTATATTAATTTTGTAAATGTTTGTAATGTATTTCAGATGCAATCTGTAGAGCAATAAGTGTTCTGAGAAAATCTAGACCACAAAATAGTAGATTGCTTTCTCAGAAATAAAGGAATTATGATAAAATGCGAGGTACTCGCACGAGTTTAGGTATATCTGTCTTCAATGACAAAAAACTTATATTCTAGCAAACGTTAAATATTCTTGAAATATTCATAAAATGTTCCTAAAATTTCAAAAAAACATTCCAAGAATACCCCAAATATTTCGAATATTTATGGAATGTAAAAGAATCATTTAAATGTCGATTAAAAATTACATTCGTATATGTCGTTGCGTATTCCGAAAATGTTCCATGAATATTCCGTAAAATTTTAGCTTTTTCAAAAATTCCAGATCAGGTTGTCCGTGAATCAGTTTTAAATCGAATTTTTTGGAAAACATTTAATGTGTTTCCACCTTGGAGTCCAATTTTGGGACTTACTTCACAGGCAAAGTGCTGCTCCTTATATTCTCTCCTAGATGATTCTTGTGTACGAGTAAATGTTAAAGTCATTAGATTATAAAGTAGATTATAAAGGCTATAGTACTATTATAAAGTACAAGTGCAATGGCTTTTCTAATTTGATTGCGTCAATATGGCGGAACTGTTCTATGCGCACAATTCACACAATGTTTTGCAATATTATGTACATACGTTTGTGCATTTTGTGAATAGCTCGCTCGCTTGGAACTTTGGAAGAGGATTTTAGAAAAGGTGATCAAGAGTATCATTAGAAAGTATCATCGCGAAACTCGTATACATACATATTTCTACGCCTACATATTTCTGCGCCTCTAAACTGTGCATAAATTTTTATGCACTTTAATAACAAATAAATTTGTATTAGACTAAAAAATACAAAAATTAAGCATTCGTACAGTATTTCTTTTGGTTCATAAATAAATTATTTACAATTAAAAAATTTATTTACATATTTTATCACTTTTTCCCAAAGTATGTTTATATACGTAAGTTTGAAAATGACCGCATCTTGCTTCAAAAGAGAGGAATTTACACGATACTTTATAATCTACTGACTTTAGTAAATGCTTTTCGCCGCGGCCCTCTGTCAGCAGAAATGTATACTGCTTGCTCGCTCGCCATTTTCGTGAAATATTCTGAACATTTCATGGATACATTTGTACATTCTGTGACGATTCTTTTATTGTTTCGGCACATTGATAATATGAATTTCACTTTCTATGAATATTTAATATTAGTTGGAATTCTTCGTAAGTTTTGTATTATAGATTAATTTATATATATCAAATATAGTAAATAATAATATATCCTTTTATTTATATTGTCTTTGAAAAAAAATAAAGGAATCTAACCAAATAAGAAGGATTGAAATTCCTTCCACAACGGATTTAATGGTTAACGCACTTTTTTGTCACTAAAGAAAATTTGGTTTCTTAAATTTTAAATGCTCGATTTCCATCCAGTCGTCCATAACCCGAAATGGTGTTTCTTAGTAAATAATTTTTGGTAATTATTTAGAATACGGACTGTACCTCCGATTTTGATAAAATTAGGCTTATTCGCTCACACTCGAAAGAATTTATAAGAAAAGACATTAAATCGGCTCCGCGAACCGAGATATTAATCATTAAAGTTAACGACAATTAAGATTAGGAAATCTGTCAGAGGCAACATGGGTTTCGACTTTCTACGCGAAGTGACTCTCAGCCCTTCTCCACTCCCTGCAAAAGAGCGCACGACTTCTTCTATAATTGTACTGTTGCAAAATCGAAACTCATGTGTAGGAGGAAGAGGAGAATCACTTCGCTTGGAAAATCGAAATCTATGTGGTACAGTAAAATTATAGACCTCATTCATCATTTTGTCTCTGTGACAGAGTTTATAACCTCAATAATTATCAACTTTAATGCTTAATATCTCGGTACGCAGGATCAACCTTTCTTACAAATTTTTTCGAACAAAAACGCGTTGAATGAACCTAATTTCAATTTTTAAAAATCGGAGCTGTCCGTTCTAAAATTCTAAATAATTACCTAATTTTTTTCTTTGCGAATGTTTAATGGATTAATTTGAAATTTTAGGCGATGACAGATATTATTCAGATATAACACTGAATTTTTGTTTAACATTTTAGCGGGAATTTCTAATTTTACGAGCAAAAACAAAATTTTAAATTTTAATATTTTGATTCTCATAAGACTTGCTACTCCTATATTAGGTGTAGTAAAAAGAAATCCATTATTTTTCCATTCAATTTCATGCAAAAATAATGGATTTCTTTTTACTACACTTAATATTTTAATTAAAATTGTATTTTTAGAGAAGCTATGTTTTTGATTTATTTCAGAATTTTTTATCTATGAGAATAGATAAAATATCTCTTAAATATCTTTAAAAAACCACTTTTTTCTTCTTTTTTGCTATTTCTTATTTGCAATGATATTTCGTGGCTGCGCCCGATAAATTTTCCTTATTCAGGTATTTTCTGGAGGGTATTCAACCATAAAAAAAAAAGTACTAATTTCCAAAAACACTCAATTTTATCTCAATTACCCCAGTGTAACAATAAAAAATATTGTGATACAATATTATATTTCTTTTTCGCTTGCGTAATTTGGGAAAGGGATATTCTTCGAAATTCATGTTTCTTATAGGTTTGAATTGGGTATAAATGAGTCGATCGTTCAGGACATTTGTTTTCATATATATAGATTGAATTATAAAAAAATGTTTTTTTTTTTATGAAAACAAATTAGGATAACTCCGGCGGATACACCGCAGAAGTTAAAAAAGGAAGTAATTTTCTCGCAACTCTGTTACATGCCTTTATGTTATACTTGTGTTATGATTTCAGTTTTTTACTGTTAATATAATATTAATGAAATTGGTATTATGAGTTGAATCAATTTGTCACTGTAAGTAGACTAATGTAGTGCCATAAATTATAATTTACATAAAATGATTACTGTTGGGCGTATAAAAGTCTTACAATTAGTGGTTATTTCATGATACATAAGTGTTATATGTTGTATAGCAAAATATATATACACAGCAACACAAGCAAGCTTTTCTCTTGTATTCTTTTTTTAATTTGTTGTCTTGTATATCTGTTTGGGATATACAACATTTTTAACGAGCAAGAGTTAATCTCTGTATACCCAAAGCATACAGAGTAAACGTATTACATGAGATATATATCATGTGTAATAGCAAAATATATATCACTTGTAATATATGTAAAATATATGAAATATATGAAAATTGTATTGTATTTATTACTTCAAATACATATATTATCATTCTTATTTCTTAATAAAACTGTGTAAACATATTTTATAAGTTACTGTGTCATTTTACGTCTTATTAATAAACATTATTTGTAAATTTTTAATAAGCCGTACATACCTCTCCCTCCCCCCTCCCTCTGTGAGTAGTCATATATTTCATCTCTATGGAATATATGACAAAAATGCAATGGTTTCAAAAAGTTCTTTTTTTAATATAAAAAATAAATATTTCAGATTTCTAAAATTTTTTTCATAGTAGTAAACAGTACAAAGTTTCTACTGATATAGTTCATTTATTTTAAAAATAGTAAATAATACTTAATAAATTAAGCTTTTGTTAGGTGCAGCGTATAAACCGGAATTACTATTCTTTTTATATGATACACTCTACATGTAATAATGAGTTTTATATTGGGGTTGAATAATTTTTTTAATTGAAAAAATCATTTGGAAATGAGACGGATCGCAAATAAAAATTGTGTTAAGAGCTGAATTTGATTTGAATTGTAAATACTGTTATGCTTGTTATTTCCCAAACCAATATCATGCACTGGAAAAGACATCTGTCTTATAGAAACTTGCTAAATGCTGTTTTTGAAGTTATGAAAGTTCTTTATGATATATTTTCTACTTGAGTAATAATGAAGATTATCCAATTGCATAAGGATTGACAAATCAATCCGGTCTTGGATTTAAAAAATCGCATTTTAAGGACTTGAAAGAACAAATATGTGATATTAGATTAGAATTAGTTAATAATGTTTGATGAGGATCTTAGTTCTTGTGGAAAGTAGGATTACTTACGAGGGCTAAGAAATCATGCCTCTGGTCGAAAATATAATGCAATTTAACCTCAAAAATAGCTAAAATAAGCTAAAATTAAGTCAAAAGAAATTGAAAAAAATAAGGGCACTAGAAGTCAGGCGCAGAAGACGTCGCGCAAATAATACACCTATAAAGCGTAAAATTTCTTTATTTTACTAAACGCGCTTATATGATTCGGCTCACTTTTGAGCCTTCCTCAGAGACAAAATAAACTAACATATATAAACTATGAGTAAAAGTCAGGACAGACTTCTATCCACAGTTTCCATCCAAGTCAATCAGATCTAAGTCAATCTATAAAACACTCAAAAAAATTATTTATTGAAAAACATCATTTTGAAGAATATGGATGACAGGGAGAGTATCAAAATTTGGGAAACTAAGTTTTCTTTAGTGACAAGAAAGTGCGCCAAATTTCAATCAAATCCGTTGTGGGATTTCAACCCTCTTTATTCGGCTAGATCCTTTCCACCTTTTATTTGACTATACCAACCTCCTATCCTCTCTCTTATCTAATAATAATAATTAAATCGAAATACTAGCTAACCTGGCTAGCAGGAAGAGATTCTGATAGTTGGCCGGGACTAGCTAAGGAAGCAGCATATTGATGTAAATGCGCCGGAGACATTGACGCAGGTGCCTGCATGAAGAAGAAAATATAGGAATATATTGTAAGCAATATGATGATTTTGCTCATACTTACGCAATCAAATTAACATAAATAACAATTATTGCATTTACGTGATTACTAACGGTGTGGTACTTATGTAAATAATCCCTATTTGGACTATGATGCGATTTTGGTGTGGATCGGCCACTCAGCGGCGGCGATGCTCGCTCGAGACTTCGTCCCCTCGCTAATAGATTCATATGTTCGAGGCTGCCAACGCGAGATTCCAGTTCCTCCGCACGTGCTTCCGTACTCTGCTTTTCTTCCTAAGAAAATTCTCCACTTTCAATTGCATATAACTTAAAAAATTATCAATCCTTCAAGATAAAAAAAAATAAATTAAATTATACAAAAAGTATAAAAATGATATGTTGAGTCTGCGATACCTCATTACATTCATTTTTAGATTAATATATATTCCGACTTCATATAAAATAAATCTATGCATATGAGTCGTATAATATTAATTACTTGAATTAATCTAATTTCCTTATTAATAGCATCTAATTGTTCTTGTAACATCAATGCTAATGTTTGGGCGTCTGTATGTCCAGTGGGGCTGATTACGTCCGCTGCACAACTGAAGATACTTTCGTTATCTCCATCACCTTCCGCGTCACTCGAAACATCAAATGCTTGTTGGACATTGGCAAGCACATGCGCTTGTTGCAACTTTTCCCATTCTTGCTCCGCTAAAGTCCGTGCAACATAATTCTAGAATATCAAAATTCACGTTATAAATGTTTATCTTTACACCTAATTAATGTTTTTTATATCTTGTACAACAGTACAATACCTTCGATGAATCGTCTTCGATAGATCGTTTACCTCCTCTTCTAGGCAATGAGTGTGTGTCGAAACTGCTGTGACTTGCACTTCTCGAAAAGGAGCCTGGATCTACGGTATTTGGCGACAAACTTCTCGTTAATGCATCTGTTTGCTGAATATTAAATGCAATTTCTTGTTGGAGCATCTGTCTTTTAACATTATCGATTTCCAGACGTGCTTTACCCAATTCTTTAACAATGTCAGCCTTTTCATTTTGTAGATCTTCCGCCACTTTTCTTGTTTTTTCGAGTTCCTGAGTAAGTGCATTTTTTTCTTCTAACGCGTGCATTCTTTCTTTTAAATGCACTTGTAATCTTTCATTGGATTCTAAGCAAAAATTTAAACTATTAACTTAACTTAAAATTTTCACATTTATTAATACCGATAAAGTTAAAGCATTAAAAGTTATTTTTACAGGTCGTATGATTTAAAAAAAAATCAACAATAATAAAAAACAAGAAAAATTATATATCTTATTTTTAATATTATATATTTCAAATT